AAAAACTAATTTATTAAATTATCTTAATGAAAATAGTGTAGACATATTAATTCTATCAGAAATATGGCAAAAAACAAACTCAACAATAAATATTCGGGGATTCTCTTCTGTCCAAGTAAACAGGGCAGATGGAAGTGGCGGTGTCGCTATCTTGATTGCAAATAATCTAGTTTTCAAAAAAATCGATATAAATAAAAATTTTAATGAGGACATCGAAACATGTGCGATTCATCTAGAGCATTACCAATTAATAATTGTTTCAATTTATAAACCTCCCAATAAAACTGTACTCTCCAGTGACTGCTGGGAAAATTTATTCTCACAACTTTCAACTAATACCCTTTTCTGTGGCGATTTTAATTGCCACCACACCTTATGGGGATCAATTACAAATCAAAATAGTGGCATTCGTTTAGTTAATGCAATCGAAAATGGTGATCTAGCAGTACTAAACGACGGAACACCTACACGGGTTAGCAGACCAAATGAATCTCCATCCGCAGTGGATTTAAGTATAGCTTCTCCCTGTTTAGTTGGCAAAATCAAATGGTCGGTTCTAGGTGATCGCATGGGATCAGACCATTTCCCTATTTTTATTAATTATAACTTTGAGTTCACTCCTCAAAAAATTTACCCATCCAAAAAATGGAATGAAGACTTGGCGGACTGGTCGCTATTTCAATCACTTTTAGATACTTTTTTTCAATCACAAAATAATTTTTCATTTCTTGAGTTTATTAATATAATTGATCATACAGCTTCCAAATGCATGAAAATTAACCATCCCTTTTTACCTACTACTCCCCGCCCATACTGGTGGGATGCTCAATGTTCCCAAATGGTTCTAAAAAGACGGGAAGCTTACAAAAAATACAAACAAACCTCCAACTGGGAAAATTATATATACGCTAAAAAAGTATCATTGTATTATCACGTTTCTTTTTAATTCCAGGTATCAGCAAAAAAAAACAAACAGAAAAAATAATGGTACAACATCAATAATAAACGTGACAATACAATACTTAGGTTCACCCCCACTCTTCTCAGGGATAAATACAAAAAAATCGAGCGTACAAAAAAAACAGAATTGTAGGAAATTTAATTTTAAACAACATTGTTTATAACAATTTTTCTCGTAAAATTGAAAATAAACGAGTTATTCTATAACCAAAAATGCACCCCCTCTTTTCGGGTATAAATCGAAAAAATCGATCGTACAAAAAAAAACACAATTGTAGGAAATTTAATTTTAAACAACTTTGTTTATAACAATTTTTCTCGTAAAATTGAAAATAAACGAGTTATCCTATAACCAAAAATTAACCCCCTCTTTTCGGGTATAAATCGAAAAAATCGATCGTACAAAAAAAAACAGAATTGTAGGAAATTTAATTTTAAACAACTTTGTTTATAACAATTTTTCTCGTAAAATTGAAAATGAACGAGTTATTCTATAACCAAAAATTCACCCCCTCTTTTCGGGTATAAATCGAAAAAAATCGATCGTACAAAAAAAAAGCAGAATTGTAGGAAATTTAATTTTAAACAACTTTGTTTATAACAATTTTTCTCGTAAAATTGAAAATAAACGAGTTATGCTATAACCAAAAATTCACCCCCTCTTTTCGGGTATAAATCGAAAAAAAACGATCGTACAAAAAAAAAAGCAGAATTTTAGGAAATTTAATTTTAAACAACTTTGTTTATAACAATTTTTCTCGTAAAATTGAAAATAAACGAGTTATTCTATAACCAAAAATTCACCCCCTCTTTTCGGGTATAAATTGAAAAAAATCGATCGTACAAAAAAAAGCAGAATTGTAGGAAATTTAATTTTAAATAACTTTTGTAAAAACTATTTTCCGTGTAAAATTGAAAATAAATGAGTTATTCAAGATACAAAAAATAACCCCTTAAATCAAGATGGCGGAGGTAACGACAACTTTGGAATCCCAACTTTTTGAATTTAGACTACCAGAGACCCCCTCCAAGGAATTCCGAAGGAAAATTGCTGCTTCGAATTTTTCAGAATCTAAAATACTAATCCGATTGGGCTAGTATGTAACATAAGTATTGAGACAAATTTCGTAACTAATTTTTATCACTTTGAAATGATTCAGTCTAGTTACCATTGCCTGGAATTTGGAATTTATTCAAGTAGGTCTTGTTATCATAAATATTGACAATTGTTGCCGAACAATTTTTGTGAAATGGCATAAAAAATCGAAATATGAAAAAGCATTTATAATTTAGTTGGCCGAATACAAAATGTGGATATTAGAAACATTTTTCAAGTGCAAATATTTACTATTTACTTGTTTGGGCCAATGCAGCTTCGGATAATGTGAAATTGGAAAACTAAATTTGAAGATAAAATTCTGGTGTGGTCCGCTATTTCTTCGGCAGGTGCATCGCGGTCATATTTGGACATATTAGAGGAGAAGCCATCCATCACTGCAGGTATTTATATACAAAGATGTTTGCCTAAATTGTTACGATTGATAAACAACCATCACAATATTGATGAAATCATGTTTCGACCTGATCTAGAATCTTGTCCATATGCCATGTAAACCAGAGATTGGTTGGAAGCCAATAATGTCCCAATTGTACCCAGAGAAAATAATTAACCTAATGTACCCTAAGCATGCCCCATCGAAGAATTTTGGACCTTATTGAGCAGCAAAGTTTATGATAATGGATGGAAGGCAGAAAATAAACAATTAAAAAGGAAAATGTATTATAAGATTCGGGAAATCGATGTTGCTATCATCCAATCACTTATAAAGTACTTAACAACAAAAATACGACAGATAGAAGACCATGGGCCGTTAGCTGCATTATAATATATTCTTATTATTAACAAATGATGTTATTCGTTAACCGTTTACATAATGTATGTAAAGTTGAACATTTTAACAAATAGTGTTAACTTGTTTTTGGTTTTTTGGCTCAAAGACATTTTTAAGACGTCTTTCCAAATCCATATATTAATGTGAAAGCTCAAAGACGTCTTTAAGATGTCTTACAAATGTCTTTCAGTCGAAAGTAAACTTAAATAATTCAAATTTAAAAGAAGAATGAAATGAAGTGAAGTTTGACTTAACAATACATTCAAGTCCAAGCCAAAAATGTCTACGGCCCAAGCTTATTGTGGATTATTGATTATTTTATAACGTACGCGATTATAGCCGCCAAAAGTGTCTTTGTGCTATTTTGTGCATTTGTGTTTGTGTTTATAGTATCTTTTTACTTAAATAATATGGGACTAAAATCAGAGAAGGAAGAATAGTGGAGTTTCTGTTACCGATGCTTTCTGCAGATAATAAATGAATATTTGTATATATACATATCCTGTTTCTTCTTAATAATAATAATAATAATAATAATAATAATATAAGGTTTAATTATATTAATTATATTCAATTTCCTTTTTTTGTTTTTAGGGAGATTTCGAGAACTATTGATATCAAAAGCCCCATGTTAGATAGCCATTTTGAGTGAAGTTAGAGCAAAATTGTCAAAATAGGCGATTAAGCATAATAGCTCATCTTGTCTTAAATGATTTGTTATAAAAATTAATCGAGTTAAAATTCTAAGAATTTAATTTTTTGTTTTGTTTCATATTTGTTCTTTCGGTTTTTACTAACTTTTGCAAAGTTTAACTTCCTGTGACTATAATGCTCTTACCTAAATGTCTTTTTAGGAGCGACTGTACAAAGGCAACTGCAAATCAAAAAGAAAGAGAAAAATCAATCCAGTTATGGCTAAAGAGGAGAGATTGAATGCGCTACAAAGAAAATAACTCTCAGTGATTTATCACTAAATATTTTTAATTCTATTTTTTGCATTCTTTATAATCTGCAAGATTATTCTACTAATTTTAATAACCAAGAACCACGATGATACCCATTTTTAAATTGTTTTATATTATTATAAACAGGTTATAGAAATAGCAGAATAAAAATAATGAACGTGTTATTTATGGCTTATTTAAGTCCAACCAGACCATTATAAGACATTAATAAGACATCTTTAAAGGCGTACAATTTATGGCTTCACAAGACCATTATAAGTCGTCTTATTTTGGCTTATTTAAAGCTTCAAAAACCATTATAAGCCACTAATAAGACGTCTTAAAGACGTCTTATTTATAGCTTATTTAAGGCTTCACAGGACCATTATAAGCTATTAATAAGTCGTCTTAAAGACGTCTTATTTATGGCTTATTTTAAGCTCTACAGACCAATATAAGCCATTAATAAGACGTCTTAAAGATGTCCTCTTTTGTAACATCAGACGTCTTTTAAGACATCTTAAAGACGTTTTTCAGAAAATACCAAACGTGTCTTAAAGACGTCTCATATGTGTTATGCTAGACATCTTAAAGACGTCTCATTAGTCTTGTGCTAGACATCTTAAACAAGTCTTTGGGACGACTTTATGCTATTTGGGATGGTCTCATCTTCTTGTTCACACCCCCTGGAGAGTGCGGAGTCTGACAAGCCCATGATATGGAGATGCTTCCGTACTTGGCAATAACTAGTCAGAATGCCCTTGACCAAGCGTAGATTCTGTCTATACATAGTCTAAGTATTTGTTGTCAGGATAACTTAAAATCTCCCTGAATTTGTTTTAGTTTGCGGATAGCTGTCAATTTTTTAAGTTTCCGGTACTCAGACATCAACTCTGCACCGAACGCATAGGTCTTATGATGGCCTTGTAAGTGGCAACTCTGGGGGAGAAACCCTAGATGCGACCCACGGTTCGGCGGCATTGTTCGTAAGCAATGTATGTAACTACCTAATTAAGACATTATTGAGCAATAAATTATTAAAAAATGAAAAAAAAAATATAACCTGGCGACCGCCGTATTTCTTTTTATCAAGACTTAATAACTTACATTTTTTTTTGAAGTGTCCTTTATTCACTTTTCAAAACGGTGGCAACCCTAAAGTAACCTGATTAACATTTGTGATTTTTACTTTTTTTTTTTTCTTAGAAACCACTTTGAGTACAAAATTCTAATTTTAATATTCCGAGTTCTGTTTTTTGTTAAGTCGTCTAAAAACATCATTGAACATTTCAAACTATTTTAACACTATTTCATTATTTGTACAAGATTTTCAACAGTAAAATAATTTAAGCCACCCTTTAGCGCCCTCTACCATTTAAAAGCCAAACGAATTTTACCTTAAAGTGCGGCCGGCAGAGTAGATCCCTCAATTCCTGCAGATCCCTGAAATCGGTATCCCGACGATGTTCCAAATCGCGTAAAGCGTCCGCTGCATCGCGAGCGCATTGCACGGCGTCGTTCAGCGGCGTTCTCAAAGGTGTCAGCACTCGGCTCTGGATACGGTCGAAGAGCTGGAAATAAATAAAAGAAGCGGTGTGATAAAATAGACAAAGTACGAATAAATAATAACTACTAAGTAATAAAAAATACATTATGTACCTCTAGAAGCATGTGGAGACGGGTATCATCAAGGAGAGCTAGGAGGTGGGCGCGTTCTTGGGGTTGGGTTTCTTGAAGGCAGTTTATGTCATCCAAAGAGTCGATGATTGTTGATATAGCTGAAAGAAATAAGCACATTTAATTTAAATGATTAGTTTTAACACTTTGGCAGCCACTTCAAATCGATCAAATAGTTAGTTGGGCCACGATAAAGTAGTTAGAAAAGTCGAAACGGTTACACCCAAAAATTATAAATAAATAATTAAAATGTTTATTATTTCTCATTGCTAAATACAGTTTTATACAGGCACAGGTCACGTCAATTAGTTACCGCTAAAAGTATAAGCAACAATTTTGATTAAATGAGTGTGCATTTGTTTACATGACGGAAAAAAGTTTGACATTTTATCTTTCTTGGCAGGTAACAAAACGTCACTTTTTATGAAATTACTGTTTTCCCCGTTTCCCGGGAAAAAAGTGTTTCGCCAGGAAAATAGTGAATACTTTTTTCCGGATAGGTATTGCGATGGAAATAAAATATCAGGAATAAGAATAAAAGTTAGTCAATAAAATTTATATTTGTGTATAATAAAGTAAAAAGATCACCCTGTACATCAAAGTTAATTTAAGTGAAAAATGTCAAAAAAAATTGGTAGTCAGGAATATCCGAGGAGACGGTAATAATAATAGGAAGGTTAAAAAAAAATATCCTACGGGAATGAACTTTTCGTTATAGAATATTTCAAATTGCCTAAATTTAGAGCCTCGGTACATTTAAACAGTTTTTTGGAAAAAGTTGTAATATTTAAATAACGAAGTAATAATAGACAAGTTGTATCACCTCAGTTGTACAGTAAAAGTAAACGGGTGAAATTGTATGGTGAATCTGTTAAAGCTGAATATTGGAACTAGAGACTTAAATTAATAAGAAGGTCTGGATTTGGATATGATAGAAGGACATTTTCCTGTGAGTAAATAGTTTTGTATTAGTGTGAGATCATAATAGACAATTTGCTATCGATATCACGACATCAACAAACTAAATTTACTTTTAAAATTGAAGGTAGACAATTAGAATATTAGAATTTATTAAATTATTTAGAATAGTTACATTTTGGAGAATTAAAACGTCAAAATTTTGCTAAATTTCACATTGAAATTTATCAAGTTAGATTTTAAATTATTAATATTAATAAAAATTAATAAAAATTAATAAAAATTAATAAAAATTAATAAAAATTAATAAAAATTAATAAAAATTAATAAAAATTAATAAAAATTAATAAAAATTAATAAAAATTAATAAAAATTAATAAAAATTAATAAAAATTAATAAAAATTAATAAAAATTAATAAAAATTAATAAAAATTAATAAAAATTAATAAAAATTAATAAAAATTAATAAAAATTAATAAAAATTAATAAAAATTAATAAAAATTAATAAAAATTAATAAAAATTAATAAAAATTAATAAAAATTAATAAAAATTAATAAAAATTAATAAAAATTAATAAAAATTAATAAAAATTAATAAAAATTAATAAAAATTAATAAAAATTAATAAAAATTAATAAAAATTAATAAAAATTAATAAAAATTAATAAAAATTAATAAAAATTAATAAAAATTAATAAAAATTAATAAAAATTAATAAAAATTAATAAAAATTAATAAAAATTAATAAAAATTAATAAAAATTAATAAAAATTAATAAAAATTAATAAAAATTAATAAAAATTAATAAAAATTAATAAAAATTAATAAAAATTAATAAAAATTAATAAAAATTAATAAAAATTAATAAAAATTAATAAAAATTAATAAAAATTAATAAAAATTAATAAAAATTAATAAAAATTAATAAAAATTAATAAAAATTAATAAAAATTAATAAAAATTAATAAAAATTAATAAAAATTAATAAAAATTAATAAAAATTAATAAAAATTAATAAAAATTAATAAAAATTAATAAAAATTAATAAAAATTAATAAAAATTAATAAAAATTAATAAAAATTAATAAAAATTAATAAAAATTAATAAAAATTAATAAAAATTAATAAAAATTAATAAAAATTAATAAAAATTAATAAAAATTAATAAAAATTAATAAAAATTAATAAAAATTAATAAAAATTAATAAAAATTAATAAAAATTAATAAAAATTAATAAAAATTAATAAAAATTAATAAAAATTAATAAAAATAATAAAAATTAATAAAAATTAATAAAAATTAATAAAAATTAATAAAAATTAATAAAAATTAATAAAAATTAATAAAAATTAATAAAAATTAATAAAAATTAATAAAAATTAATAAAAATTAATAAAAATTAATAAAAATTAATAAAAATTAATAAAAATTAATAAAAATTAATAAAAATTAATAAAAATTAATAAAAATTAATAAAAATTAATAAAAATTAATAAAAATTAATAAAAATTAATAAAAATTAATAAAAATTAATAAAAATTAATAAAAATTAATAAAAATTAATAAAAATTAATAAAAATTAATAAAAATTAATAAAAATTAATAAAAATTAATAAAAATTAATAAAAATTAATAAAAATTAATAAAAATTAATAAAAATTAATAAAAATTAATAAAAATTAATAAAAATTAATAAAAATTAATAAAAATTAATAAAAATTAATAAAAATTAATAAAAATTAATAAAAATTAATAAAAATTAATAAAAATTAATAAAAATTAATAAAAATTAATAAAAATTAATAAAAATTAATAAAAATTAATAAAAATTATTAAAAATTAATAAAAATTAATAAAAATTAATAAAAATTAATAAAAATTAATAAAAATTAATAAAAATTAATAAAAATTAATAAAAATTAATAAAAATTAATAAAAATTAATAAAAATTAATAAAAATTAATAAAAATTAATAAAAATTAATAAAAATTAATAAAAATTAATAAAAATTAATAAAAATTAATAAAAATTAATAAAAATTAATAAAAATTAATAAAAATTAATAAAAATTAATAAAAATTAATAAAAATTAATAAAAATTAATAAAAATTAATAAAAATTAATAAAAATTAATAAAAATTAATAAAAATTAATAAAAATTAATAAAAATTAATAAAAATTAATAAAAATTAATAAAAATTAATAAAAATTAATAAAAATTAATAAAAATTAATAAAAATTAGTAAAAATTAATAAAAATTAATAAAAATTAATAAAAATTAATAAAAATTAATAAAAATTAATAAAAATTAATAAAAATTAATAAAAATTAATAAAAATTAATAAAAATTAATAAAAATTAATAAAAATTAATAAAAAATTAATAAAAATTAATAAAAATTAATAAAAATTAATAAAAATTAATAAAAATTAATAAAAATTAATAAAAATTAATAAAAATTAATAAAAATTAATAAAAATTAATAAAAATTAATAAAAATTAATAAAAATTAATAAAAATTAATAAAAATTAATAAAAATTAATAAAAATTAATAAAAATTAATAAAAATTAATAAAAATTAATAAAAATTAATAAAAATTAATAAAAATTAATAAAAATTAATAAAAATTAATAAAAATTAATAAAAATTAATAAAAATTATTAAAAATTAAATTAATAAAATAAAAATTAATAAAAATAGTGAAAATAATTAAAAACTTATAAGTAAAACTTCTTACGCCTTGACATGAAAAATATGAGGACAGAATTGATAAAGACTACATTTCTCGATGTCTTGAAATGGATAGTTTTATGTTACAGTTAGGGAGAAAGCGCGTAGCTAGGTTGTTTTCTTCTCAAATTATTGGTGAATGCGCAGCGTGTGATCATAGAATATGGTACCAATGCAACGTCTACAGTTTATATGTGTATTTTCAGAAAAAGGAGTGAGTTTTATAATGAAGTTTTTAATTTTTTATATATTTATACAGGATGTTTCAGAACAAAATACCGTAATTTTGAGGATTTGTAGATCTTAATCAATTATAATGAAAAGCTAATAATTTTCCTATAAACGTCCCAGTTTTCATTCCACAAGGTGATAAAGTGAATTTCATAAATACATATTTTCTAAATATCTTCCCTTACAGTAAAGACTTTAACTGAAAAATATGTATATGAAAAAGTACCATAACTCATTGGCGTAGAATGAAGGGATAAAGAAACAATTTTATTCAAAACTTTTTGAACACTCATATTTCATAAAACTTAATATTAACAAATATTTCTCACGCCATTTGTCACAAAAAAGGGACTTCTGGTTGATCTTTCTGAGGTGATAGAACTGATTTATTTTATACCGAGTGTAATAAAACAGCTTTCGATCAATTATGCACTGATGGGACACCCTGTATATGTGTTATTGACTAACACATTGGTATTGTTACATAGGCAAATTTATAGGGAATTTTATGCCAAGATAATATACAGTGTGTTGCGTTTGGGAAAATTGAGTAAATTGAACTTAAAGTTAGCCATATTTAAGACATATTTCAAAACACTCTATATAGAATAAACCAGTTGTGTCAGTGTCACCTCTATTCGTTAGCTTAGTATTTTATAAGTCTGTATATTAAACAATTTTGAAATTAATGTAAACCTACCTAAATTATGATAATATAATTTGGGGTCTGCATCATTCTCTAATTAAAAAAAAAAAATAATTATTTGGCAAAACTAATATTTTTTAAAAACATTCTAGGATTAAATACAGTATTCCCAAGCCATTCTAAAAACAAAATAAAATATAGCGTGTTCTATTTAAAAAACATACATTTTTATTTGTCAGGCAAAAACGCAACACCCTGTATATCCAAAAATATTTTTCAAATCCATATAACTTTTATTAAAACTTGTTTACTTGTCAATAACACAAATTGAAATATTGAACAATTACGCACTAATGGGACCCTTTGTATAAATTTTAATTTTCAATTTGCAGGAATATTATTATTTTAGATGACAATGTTTGAGAAACTCTTTGTTTTATTGTATTTATTTTATCTCTCTATTTTTGTTTAATCTTACGTTTAAAAAAATATTGATATTGACTATGGCTTGGGGGTAATTACCCCCATTACCCCTCACCTTATCTTCGCCCTTGTTAGGGAGTGAGTTCC